GTAACGGACTTCCGTTCCAAACGATCGTTTCTCGCGTTTCGTGATTCCGAACAATTTGCTAATAACGTTCTTTATAACGTAATCCTCGTGTGAACGTACGAGTTTGCAGGATTAAAAATTTATCAGTTCGAAATACGTAGTTTTATAGAGTACTCTTTTATGACATTTGATCCTTTGCCTAGTAATATTGAGTCACGTTGGTTTCGATCTGTATTTAATACATAATAATATTCTCTGTTCCTTTGAAGACAGAATGGAATATTAACTTGGTATGATTAATATATTCCAGTTGCTGTAATATATGTTAACATTTAAAATGACAAAGTGATTAATAAAGGAGAAAATGATTCCCCAAGTGCTTCTGTTAATTACAACCAATATCAAAAATTGATCACAGTTTATCATTTTATCATATTTTCACGTACTAAATATCACCCGAAGATTGAAAAAAAAAACGCTGAACTTGATTTAATTGCTCCAATTCCGTGCAATGAAGGGACAAAAGCCCGGCGGGAATAAAAACCACGCACCATAACGAACTTTGTACAGGTATAAAGAAGCTTTGCCGCGAAACCGAATGGAACGTTCAAATCGTAACTCTTCTAGATGACATTTTTCGTCTCGCCGGAATTTCATTCGGCGAACGAATTTCTTCGGGCAGCGGGAACGCCAATTAGCGAGGAACAGTGTAACGATAAACGCAATATAAATAACGAAATAAAGCGACGTATTAATCAATTATTCCGTCGAGCAAACATCGCGCGCCCAGTTTTAATTGATATCCGCGGAACAACCAATAAACGACAGGATTAATTCCGCGCGAATTCGCTGGCGAAGATGTTTACGATCGCTTGGCCGCGTTAGAAGTACAATTTACGCGTCGAGCGGCGATTAATTAACGAGGAACTCCGCGGGGCAGCGTTCACGGGGAACGACGAAGTAATTTCACGTAACGCGATACTCCACCGCCTCGGTGAATTGTTTCTTCATTAAAGAAACGGAAGCTATTGTCCGAATGCTTGAATATTTTATTATTCCCGTTGTTTACGATGGCTGCCGGTTACAATGTTCCCGGAATCCCGATCAACAGGTTACGCTTCCGACCGGGTAATACCGAACCAATTAAAGCAATTAGTTCCTTAAACAGGTGCTCCAGCAACTTTCACCTGAGCCCTCGTGAAACTTAATTTGAACGTTGAGCACTGCCGTTGTCGAGAGCGGTCTATCGGAACGAAACGTTCGATGGCGGCTTGTTATCGCGCTCGTCCGACGATGAATGATTATAAACCATCCTCCGCTCGGATGTTTTAGTTACTGAATGCTTTATTGGGCATGGTGCGCTTCAATGCAGAAAATTTGGAGCAAACAGGTTTATTGTACGATTTCTATAATTTCTAAAATTTCTATAACTTTAATCATTCCTATACTTTCTATAATTCCCACAATTTCTACAACTTTCGTAACTTCTGTGATTTTCCTAATTTTCCCAATTTCCATAACTTCGACAATTCCTATAACCTCTAACCACTCCACATTAATAACCTTCAGCCTACAATCAAGATACCCTAACTCCATCGGGGAACCGGGGAAACCCTGTCATTAGAGGCGATGTCTCGGTACTTTCGGACGCTGATGATCGTGTATACGCGCTCATGCCGCTGAAAGAGTAGATATCTCTTGAAAGGGGTGTATTTTTCATTTTGCCAGTCGCAGACGATGATTTCTTTCGCGTGGCTACGAAATATCCTATTGTCCGCGCGCTTAAAGCGCGGGCCTTTTGTACGCGGGTACCTTCAGCATTAACAAGATTCAGATCACCGCGTAATCCGTGTACAATAGACGGTGATCCGGTTCGGGTAGACCGTGCAAACTGTTCGCCGTTGCTGATTACAAGATGGCTACTCCCATTACCAGGTTAAAGCATTCATCTTGCTCGCCGGAGATCGATGAATCCGCATTATTCCCGGAATTGAGTAAGATATGTTCTATCATGCTCTGTTGTTGAAGGGACGACGTAGAATTCCGCGTGGTCCGGTGAATCGTCGATGATAGATGAAGCGTTCGCGCTGCAGATTACTTTCTTAAAATTGATGTAGATGAACGGTGGCCCGTGATACGCGGAACAAATGGTCTCGCGTCCGCGAGGCTTGACGCGAACGAGTTCAGACTCGACGATAGAAACGTTGTCGAAGCGTGTAGCATTGTTTATAAATGATTTATGATTCGACGAAATCTGATTTAAGGAGTTCTTGCCTTGCAGAGGCGGAATAACGAATGGTTTCATTCTGATGGAGTGCAATATGAATCGTCTTAGATTCGTGAGATCCTATTATAGAGGATCGTTAAGTAGTACGAGTCAATGCGAGGGAGTACGATCTTGAACAAAGCAGATACAGAAGAACGTGGAATCTTGTAAGAAACGATTCTCGATTCGAGAAACGGTGAAAGCGAACAGACGTCCTATGAATCATAGCGTTCTTTGTTTGATCTGAAGGACTCTCAGCAGCAATGAAATCTCTGAGAATTTCGAGACTCAAGAGTAGTGAGATCTTCAATGTTAGGACCTCTAGACCCCACATCTTTTCCCGATAATGCTAAATCTTCCAGAACTCTCAAGCCATCTAGACGTATATTTCCTTTCAGATAACAGCGACTAAGGATTTCTAAGACCAACAACTTGTATCTTTGGAGTCTGTTTTCTAAGACTTCTGAAATCTTTAAGTTCAGAATCCTTTAAGATTTTATATATCGCTGAATATAATAAATTCTGATTATAAATTATGATTCTCGGTAGTTTATTCTCGCAGTAAACACAATTATTGTGAACCGAGTCGTCTTCTACTAGTTCAAAGATGTCTGTGTAGCGTCTGGAGACCGTAACGATCTGATCTGGAGGACTCAAGGGTTCAAGACCGCCAATATTGCGTCCCAGGGACCCAGATCAGGGATCGTCAATCTATCCTAAACCGATGGCCGTCTGTATCAACTCCCACGGGTCTCGGCGCATCTATCACGTTGTATAGATAAACGACGATCACGCGGATAATTCAGCATTCATATCGAATACCCGGGAGAATCTACGAAATTCATCGATAATTTCGATAACCCGAGTGGCGCTTGTGCCAGTCGATCCCGGTGTCTTAAAATAGAAATCCCATCGCGGTAGGCTATCAAATTAGGTGTTCACGTGGATAAGTGATTAAATTAAGTATCATCGATCCGCCGACACGGTGTACTGTTCGCAGTTTCCGAATACGGCGCCGGTATAATCAACTTACGCCGCATTTAGCCTCGGATAACTTTCGTTGTTTATCAATTGTATCGTCGGCTTTTCGACGGCGTCAATATTAAAATGTATTCCGGTTATACACGAAAGTATTTTCCAAACAGTACAGCATTTGAAATGAATTTAAAAAGAAGTTCACTCGATCAACAGTGAAATTGGAAAGCTCGTCGAGACAAATAATTTCAGACCTTTTATTTTACGACTATTGTTAACCTTTCAGTCGCCATTCGATTTGGCCCAAGAAAGTGATAAAATTTCAAATTCAATATTAAATTTTCTGTAATGTAACAATACATGGAACATCGAAATAAAATAATTCTGTCACTTAATTTATGCAAGGTATTCCTTTATGTTAGTTGTAAAAAATAAAAGAAAAGCTAAAGCAAAACAGAGAAGAATTACATGTTCGTCTGAGAAACTAAATAATTTATCGTTGAAAGAATTAGTATCATTTTGACTTTCAGATGACGTGTATTCGTCGAACGCAGTTGACTGGTTAAAATCATTTAATAAATAGTCAAATAATTAATCAAATAATTAAGTAACCATTCAAATTTATCGAGTTGAAATTTGTCAAAGTTAGATGATAATTAAAAATATATTTAATCTTGTGGTTCCAGGATATTGACTACGATGGATTTCGCAAGTTCTTGGACACTTATCTCGAAGTCGTGGCTCCTGACGAGCTCTCGCGACACCTTTTCCTTTCGTTCGTCAAGAGGGTGCCGCGTGGTGTCGATGGGAAAGCTTTCAAGGTATATTATTTGTTGTTTTCTATTGCAACCGGTAACAGTAGATTTTTGTACAGGAGTTACAACAAGGAGAACACATCGCGAATACAATTTTTAAGATATTTCAAATACGAAAAACTATTTACCAATTCAATCGTGTTACGATAACGTGTATAATTTTTGTCTGTCAATTAGGAGATGGCCGTGTTATCGTCGACGACCGCCTGCGCCGCGATCACATCTCACACAACGTCGAGTAGCAACGTGAACAGCACCGGTTTACCTGGCGGAACGTCGACGGACAGCCATGGTTCCTCCTTCGCTGACAAAATTCATGGGCTCACGGAGAAGCTGCAGGCTCTGGGACACCACAGAACGGAAAGCGAAGCTTCTACCAGGGCTCGCACAGGTAGTATAATCATTTTCGACTTCTTATTATCTTAACACTAGAACTACCAGATGGGTCAAAATGACTTATTTCTGATTTCTTCTTTTACAATTACTGAAAAGATGCAGATACTTCTACAAAAAATGATTAACAAGACTAATTCAGTAATAGCAAAACTGAAATATAACTCAATTGAAATCTTAGTAAACGCATGCTTATGGTTTTTATAAAGAAATTTGTAAAAATCAGTTTAAGTGATCGGTAGTTCTAGTGTTAATTACGATGTAAACTAGTAATATAGACCTGTGCACGATCAAATTCACATAGATTCGGATTAGTGCAACGATCCCGCCTCGGTTTAGCGTTAACGAAGTCATCGGTAAACTACTAATTTTTGAATAGTACTGAATTTTCATTTTAAGCTTTTAAATTTCTTGTATTCATTTCAGTGGAATATTATAGAAACGTTATTTACACGAAATATGAAATCTTGTTGCGATAGCGATAGAGAACATTGTTCGTTAATGAACGACAGCTAGTATACTTTAACTCTTCAGAAGCATTTGTTTATTCCTCTTTCATCGTTTATCATTTTTGTCTACAGAACGAAAGATAGCTATAGAAAATATTAAGAAATTCATATTATCAAATTACGTTATCGAATAATAAACACAAATTACGTTGCGAAAATATTATATTATATTTTAATATAACATTATATAATTGTCTGTATCAATTACGGTAACGTTTGTCACGAACAAAAAAAAACACTCAAAGAATTGTAAAAACCAATAATTGAGCGTCGTTCCTGAAGGGTTAAAGGGGTGCGAATGTCGGAGAAGCATAAATATTTGTCTCTGTCATTGTCCCCGGCTTCGTGACACCGTTCTACGATTTTCATCTCGCCGGGGTGTCGATTTTCATCCCTCCGGGTGCACCGTGCATCAAAGACGGCCATTGTTCAGCGGCGGTGGATGGTAATCGACGCCGTGGTACCGGCAAAAAAGAGGAGAAAGAAAGAAACAAGTCGGTAACGCACGATTTCGCCGGGCATTGTGCGACTCTTCGTTAAAAATAAGTTCTCGACCGTTTCCTTTGTAACGCTCGAGCACGGTAAACAAAGGAAGCCTGGGGATGAGAAGCGACAGAAAGCAACAATCGTCATTACGGTTCCCGCGAGCTTTGAAAAATTAACGACCGAGAATTAAACTTTATCATCTTCCTCCTTGTTCCGCCACACGCTCGTCTGGCACTCTAACTTTAACATACGGATAACTGCTCATCAAGATGTCTGGAACTTGTACCTTCAAGATTAACAATTTGGCAAGTTTCAAATTTGATAATGGAAATGTTTCTTTTATTTTTGTATTCTTCAACACTAGAACAACCAAACATTGAACATTATTAATATACAATCCTTATAAAAATTGTAATAATACATTTATCCTCGGTTTCTTCGTATATTAATTACAGCATCGAAATGAAACTATTTTGCAAATCATTTCAAATATTCAACGTTTTCAAAAATGCATATAACTGTAATATGAGCGGAGTATTACATTTTGTCAATATCGAAGAATACTCGAGGGTAATGGGAATATTTATTGCATCGCTGAAATTGTAAATGTGCGATGTGTCTCTCGTATTTTCTACGTAGATCAATCACAATGAATATTTATTATAAAAATGTGTCGCTCGATATCTTCTATGTAATTCGCTCGAAATTCTATGTAAAACACTAAAAACTGATACGATAAAATGTCCAGGGTCGTGGACTTTCATCGTAAACGTCACCGAAAGGCGATACACGTTCAAACGATTCTGCGAACAGAATTCTCGGTTAAACTTCTCCGTTTGCGATTCCGTGGCGTCAAGATCACAGAGATCACGATATCGGTTTACCCGGCGATCATGTGTCTGATCGATCAGCACCGAGGGGACGGATATCAAAATGGTCAGAAACCTGACGAACCCGACCGAGAGGTGTCCATTAGTTCGTAAATCGAGAATCGTATCGGCGATAAATCAGTCCGAGAGTGACGACGCACTTCGCCGAGCCCAGATCATCGAAGTTGGGCAAAATGTAATCTGATTACATATCACTGACGATGATTGAGATTCTAGTAGTTGATTCGGTTACAAATCATCTTCTACAATCGTCGATCATCGATGATCTACGATTGAATTCAAGGTGGTTAACGTGAACTCTAATTAATAATTACAAATAACTCGTTATCGAATCGAAAGTTGCATTTCAATTAAAACATTGACGAAATCGATGTTCGTGAAATTACTTATACAATGAAAATAATTTCCTTAACGACACAGAGACTAAAAGATCAAAATCACTTGTAATCTTCTTGTATCTCATCGATCGAACAAAATCTAGTTTACTCGATATGTCGATCAAAAAATGAATTACAATCGGCAAAATTTATGCTAAAAGTTCAGTGCTGGTGCTATGGAGGTCAAATCGTTAATATGCGGTCAGATCTCATCTGAGTGTCATATAATGTTTAGTGAAATGTTTATTGGCATTATATTTAGTTTCTTAGTATTTAATTTCTGTTCCTGTGTCCCTTCTATTTTCGCTGCGGGATTCAAGGAAGCGTCCATCCGATACTAACGGTCCAGCACACGTCGTACAGCTGCCACGACGTCATCGAGAAGAAGAGCACCGACAGCAGCCCTAGCCACAGCCAAATGTCGCGGAATTCGTCCCGGAAGTCGAACAATTCGCTGCTCGTCAACAACGGGAAATTGGAAGGTGGGTGGATCGATGTACACACACGTATACATCAACGCGGACACATAGATGCAAGGTATACACGTGTACCCAGCAGAGATTCTTTCAGTTTTCGGGTAGAACATCCTCGAAGGAATCGATGCCGACCTATCTCCGACTGGTTTGACTCTCGTAATTCTTTTGTTACATAAGGTGTTTCCGAAATAGTGGTAAACAACCGAGTAAAGAGCGGATCTGCATGTAAAAATACAGTCGATAATATAGAATAATTCTCATAAGTGAACATTTCATTTCCAAAATAATCAATTTCAAATTGATTTTATAATTGTGAATTAATATTAACCTTTATAAGTGACAATGGTAAATCGTGCACAGACATATTAGCTGATTTCTGTTGAATACTACGGGCATTCGGCGAATTTTCAAACTCGATTATCTTGAACACGAAGTGTCACGTGAAGAAGAATATTATTTTATACTGTCTACCTGACTTTTCACATAAAATCATTTCCTCCCCAATTGCACGATTTCAGGAGCACCCTGTATACCGAATCGTAACCGAACCTTAGGACGATTGCGATCCAACACGACGATCGGTAACTCCGGAATGGGAATTCCTTTTCCTCCGATCACATCCTCCGATACGCCGACGCTTTTCGGATGATTGAAATCTGATTGCCACGGTGTTGCAACTCCGGGGACGTTTTCAGCGTCGCGTGAACGTGGAAACGAGTTGTCTCGACAAGTTGGAGTGTACAGTTCGAAGTTGAAACTTTGTCCTCTGAACCTTTTCATTTCTTTATTATAGTGCTTGCTTTGAGAATCCTCAAATACTATGTCGGTTAAATATAAATATAAATAAGACTCATAGGAAAAATGTTTTAACCCTTGAAGTTATAGTTAAAATACAGTAACCTAGATCACATTAAAGAAAGCAAAAATTGTCTGTGGCCCTATGCCACAAGTGTTTGCAGTAGTTACCATAGTCTTTTGCTTTTATTAATTAAATCTTCGACACCATGTCTAGGACTGCAGCCACGCGATTAAATATGAGAATGTTAAACTTAAATAATCCTTTTAGTATTGTTAAGATATTATATTTGATATTATTAAGATAATATTATTAAGAAAATTATACATATCGCAATACTTATTACGGTACAGACACTCTGCTCTCGAAAACGACTTAAGAACCAACGCCAACCATCATCGACTATTTCCCTAACATCACAACATAGTTGATAATGTCTACATAATCACACGAAAAAAACTACTAAACATCTAAACATACAAATAAAGCAACCACTGAGTCATAATGATCTACTATCCAAGAGTATAAACGCTCTGCTCTCTCGAAGAACTGGGAACCGATCCCAACTGTCATCGACTATTTCCCTAACATCACAACATAGTTGATAATGTCTACATAATCACACGAAAAAAACTACTAAACACCTAAAAATACAAATAAAGCGACCACTAAGTCAAAATAATCTACTGTCCAAGAGTATAAACGCTCCGTTCTCTCAAAGAACTAAAAACCGATCCCAACTGTCATCGACTATTTCCCTAACATCGCAGCATTGTTCGTAGCGTATCGGTTCTAAGCGTGGTCCATTCCGCGGACGTTTTATTTCGAGCAAGTGAACGGTGAACGGCGCGTAACGAGGCACTGAAAATATCCAAGCGAGCTGAAGACGAGGAACAATGCCGGGACGTCAGGCTATCGTCCGCGGTATAAACAACGGGATCGTGGTCCGATCGTAACGTAACTCTTTATGATCGCCGTAGAATACTTTATGGATGAGACGCGGCGCGTCCAGCGTCGGCAAACAAATCGATGCCGTAAACCGGATAGCCGGCCACCGTAAAACGTGTCCCGGGCTAACGTGCACGCCGGTTTTAATGGACAGGCCTATTGTGCCTCGATCATGCCCTAATCGATTATGTCTTTCTCGTTTTTCCTTTTTGTTCATCCTTTCCCGTCCAGCCCCCGTACGCGACGCAAAAACCATTGACGCACGCGGCCCAACGCGGAGGAGAGATTCCTTCGTCGACGACCGCCGCCGTCGTAGCTTCTTCATCGATTACGTCGTCCACGAGTCAGAAAATACGAAAACAAGCCGACGAGAAAATAAACCGGCCGGGAGAAAAACTCGTGTTGTGTAATCTTCGGCCCGTTGACGGCTTGATCTCGCCATATTTCAGAAAAATCGCGCGGATCTCCGTGTTCCCCGTCGCGACGGGCTGTTCGCAGTTTGTCGGGTTTTAGTCGCTGAACGACGTACAAACTGAATTTTCTGTTAATTATTTTACGATTATGTAGGGTACGAGCTGTTTGATATTTCTCGTCGACGTCCCGTTTATACGATTCGCTGTGTTGTTTACCGGTTCCCGCGGCCCGAGTTTACATTTCCACCGGGCGATTTAAAATGATAAATTTTTGAGCGTTATTTAAACCGATTTATTGGAGCAATACCATGCGTCGCGATATAGAGGATTTGCCGATAATTGAAATAAATTTGTCGCGCACTTCGCTCGATAAACTGGAATCTCGGAATACACAATGCCGAGCGATATCCGCTTGAATTTATGAAATGCCGTTAATTCCCTAACATTTGTGCGGGGATGATTTTTCATTTCAACCGTTTGAAACCGACTACCCGTGTAATCAGAGAGCGTGACTGGCATTTCGGGCGCGGATTTTCGATTTTACAGCGAAATCCTGCCATTTCTGTGTCGTTAATAGCTTATTTCCATTATGGGTCGGCGATTTTAAATGGTTTGCAAACAAAAATTGCTATATTGATTTCTGCTCGAAGGCTTTATTATTTTGTCCATACATTTGGCCACGTTCCAAGATAACACACTGTAACCTGCATGAAATATCCCTTACCATTTACTTAAATTATTTCACATTTTCCAATGTATGACAACGTGTACCATACATTTAATATGAAATCTTTAATATGAAAACTTCTACTGTAAACAATTAATTCGTTGGACATGACCTTCTGCCATTTTTCAATTTTTCACCACATCTGGAAAATAACATTAAAAAGAATCATACAGAACTAAGAAACAATATCACTTACAGAATTATATATAATAAACAGGATTATCATTAACGTTCCGTGTACATCAGTAATCGACAATTTGAATTAACAAAAGAACTACTAGAGAGGTTAAAACGACCCATCCTTGATTGCTTCTTTAATAATGATTAAAAACATAACAGACAAATCTCTGACAAAATTACTACAGAAATTGATTTAACAATAGGCAAACTGCATTGCAAATCAATAGATATCTCCAATGGTAACGCTGTTGGAGTTTCCACAGAAAAGTTTCAAAAAATCAATTTGACCGTTCGGTAGTTCTAGTGTTAAGAGTCTCGGACGAATGTAAATATCAAAATGGGTCCACTGGACCCTTTTAGCCTTCCAAGGGTTCAATCAGGCTAGATGTTCGCGGCGGTTCCCGAAGGGATGGTAACGTGAGAACATCCTTTCTCGAGATTGAAGGGATTTATGCGTGTGCGCCGGGGAATCTCCTTTGTCTAGATAAAATCGCATTACGCTCGAAATGATAAGGGGTTGGTTTTGGCCGGCATCGTTTTTACGCTGATGCATTATACGCGCAGCATATCTGAAGGCTCGTAAATGCGGTTGAATTATGACGGGGGAACGGGACGTCATCTCTCGACCGGAAGTGCACTTCGGTCGGTCGGTGGCGGAATCGAAAGAGCGGCAAGAGGGGAAAAAAAAGGAAAGAATACGAGCACGCCCCCGCCGACGACCCACCCTGTCCCGTTTCGCCTGCACGACGTTGCTCGTTCGTTGTCTGATTACTTGGTCATATCGAGGGGCGGCTTGGTTATTCATAAAACCGGCGTTATTACGTTTGAAAACGAAGTTTAGTGCTCGTAAACGGCGCAGCGCCGCTCGGAAGCTTCCGGGCAGTTAAGTCTCTAATTCTTCCGGGCGACAGTGAATTTTATTTTTATTATAATCAATCTCCGCCGGTACGCGATCGGTTTCTATTCTGTTCGTCTAATTTCGTCGAAATTCGATCGAAATGGATCGTATCAGAAGATTCAGAAGATATTCTTCGTCGATGTAGATACTTGTTATTTGATAACATTATTGTTATTTGTAAATGTATTTAGATTGTTCCATAACGGGTCCATTTTTCTCTGTTTTATTGTTATTAGAAGAGTCTCGCGTATAAGAGTTACGGGGAGACTTCAATGGGACGTGACATAAAGTATGACGGATTAAATTCTTATTTTCGGACTGGCAACGAGAGGGACTGCGACGAACAGGGAATATTCCGTTATATACAATGTAAATGTTTGATTGACGGAAACTCTCTTTCGCCTCGGGGATAGAAGCCCGTGGCTAAAACGGAAAGTAATAATCAAACAACGGCCACAAAGAGTGACATTTAAGTCCGGCGAACCGGCGTGTTTAGTTCGCACACACGGGACCATTTTGCTGAAATTGTTTATCGAGCTGCCGGGTCAGACTAAATCCCGTGTCGGTCGCTAGACCCGTGCAACACGTAAATTACCATTTATAAATCGACATTTTGATCCGCGCGAAATGTCACGACGACCGGAAGTAATTCGGTGGATATTTCAGTTTCGGTTATTCGGGGCGTTTGTTTAGACTGAGGAACAGTTTCCCCGCGTTTCGAACGACAGGGATCGGGGATCGTCTGCGAAACGCGGAAACGAAAAGCGATAAATCCGCGGATGCTTCGTGAAAAGAGAACCTATAAATTCGCCTGTCGGCGGTACAACGAAAAAATTGATAAAAAATAA